TCATGGAGTGATCAATAAAGTGGTATATTATACATGGAGTACTACTCAGCTTTAAAGAACAATGGTGATATACACCTCTTGTATTTCCTGGATATAGCTGGAACCCATTCTACTAAGTGAAGTATCTCAAAATGGAAAACCAGCACCACATGTATCACCAGCAAATTGGTATTAACGGATCAACACTTAAGTGGACTATAGGAGTAAATTTATCGGGTGTCGGGCGTGGGAGGAGGGGGGCATGGGCATTATACGTACCTTAACATTTGTACCCATAATATGCTGAAATAAAAATAAATAAATAGGCCGGGCGCTGTGGCTCACGCCTGTAATCCTAGCTCTTGGAGGCGAGGCCGGCGGATTGCTCAAGTCAGGAGTTCAAAACCAGCCCGAGCAAGAGCGAGACCCCGTCTCTACTATAAATAGAAAGAAATTAATTGGCAACTGATATATATATAAAAATTAGCCGGGCATGGTGGCGCATGCCTGTAGTCCCAGTACTCGGGAGGCTGAGGCAGGAGATTGCTTGAGCCAGGAGTTTGAGGTTGCTGTGAGCTAGGCTGACGCCACGGCACTCACTCTAGCCTGGACAACAAAGTGAGACTCTGTCTCAAAAAATAAATTAAATCAATCCGCCCGCCTCGGCCTCCCAAGAGCTAGGATTACAAGGCGTGAGCCACAGCGCCCGGCCTTCAAAGTTTATTTTTTACCTGTGAGATCTACTTGCTCCAGAATCATTTGTTGAAAAGGTTGTCTTTTCTCCATTGAATTGCTTTTGCAACTTGGTCAGAAATCAGTTGGGCATATTTTTGTTGATTATTTCTGGGTTTTCCTATTCGCAGATCTATAATCTCTTATTACTTCTATATGTCTGTCTGGACCTCCACTGATACCACTTGGTCTTAATTAGTGTATTTATGTAACAACTCTTAAAATTAAGTTGACTGATTCTTCCTACTCTGTTCTTTTTCAAAGCTATTTTAGCTATTCTAGTTCCTTTGTCTTATACATTTTAGAATAATATTGTCTATATCTATAAAAAAACTTGCCTTTTGATAGGAATTATATTAAACTTTATATCAATTTGAGAATTGATATCTTCACTATATTGAGTCTTCTAGTCTGTTAACATGATTTCTTTCATTACTCTTTTGTAATTTTCAGCATATAATTCTTGCACTTGTTTTGTTAGGTTTATACCCAAGTACAGTAAATCCTCACTTAACATTGTCAATGCATTCTTGGAAACTGCCTTTAACTGAAATAATGTATAACAAAATCAATTTTTTCTTCAACAACGTTACAATGAAATGAATGAAAGGAGGACATTATTCAAGGACCTTCTCTAATTTGTTTCATTTTAAAGTTGCAGTTTTCAAGAACCTATTGACAGTGTTAAGTGAGAACTTACTATATTTTTGGAGCAATTGTGAAACTATTGTGTTTTTAACTTCAGTTTCCATGTTTTTATTGCTGGTATATATAAATACAATTGCTTTTGTATGTTTATCTTGTTCCTGCAACCTTGCTGAACTCACTTCTTTTTTTGGAGACTTTATAGATTCTTTGGGATTTTCTACATAGACAAGCATATCATCTACAAATAGGGACAATTTTATTTCTTCCTTCCTGATCTGTGTGCATTTTATTTCCTTTTTTGTGGTCTTATTTCACAGGCTAGAACTTCTAGCATTACGTTGAATCAAAGTGGTGAGAGTAGACATCCTTGCCTTGTTCCTGATTTTAGGAGGAAATCATTTAGTATTTCACCACTAAATGTAATGTTAGCTATAGGTTTTTTTTTAGGTGCTTTTATTAAGTTGAGGAGGTTCCCCTCTGTTGCTATTTTTCTAGTAGTTATCATGAATGGGTGTTGGATTTTGTCATATTTTTCCTGCATTGATTGATATGATTGTGTTTTTTCTTTGTTAGCCAGATATGATGGTGGATTACAGATTTTTGAATTTTGAACTAGCCTTACATTCCTGGAATAAATATTGTTTCATCATGATGTATAATTCTTTTATATATTGCTGAATTTTATTTACTAGTGTTCTGTTAAGGATTTTTGTGTCTATATTCATGAGGGATATTAGTCTGTAGTTTTCTTTTTTCATACTGGCTTTGTCTGGTTTTGATATCAGAATAATACTAATGTCATAAAGTGAATTGGAAGTATTTTCTCTGATTTCCAGGGAGAAATTTTGTAGGATTAATGTTAATTTTTCTTAAAATTGTTTGTTAGAATTCTCCATTAATGCCATTTGGCTATAGAGATTTCTTTTTTGGGAGTTTTAAAATTATGAATTAAATTTCATTAAAAAATATAATGCCTTTATCTGTTTCTTAGTGAGTGAGTTGTGGTAATTTGTGGTTTTTGAGAAAGTAATCTCTTTCATATAAGCTGTCAAACTTTTGTGTGTGTAGTTGTTCCTAGGTCTGTTTTCATTCCTAACATTGGTAATTTGTGTCTTCTCTCTTTTTTCTTTGTAATTTTTGCTAGAGGTTTGTCAATTTTATTGATCATTTCAGTGAACCAGCAATTTGTTTCATTGGTTTTTTTAACTGTTTTTCTCTTTCAAATTTAATTGTTATTTGCTATTATCTTTATTATTTTCTTAATTTTGCTCTTCTTTTTTTTTATTTTTTTTGAGACAGAGTCTCACTCTTTTGCTCTGCCATGGCGTCAGCCTAGCTCATAGCAACCTCAAACTCCTGGGCTTAAGCAATCCTTCTGCCTCAGCCTCCCGAGTAGCTGGGGCTACAGACATGCACCACCATGCCTGGCTAATTTTTTCTAATGGCCAATTAATTTCTTTCTATTTATAGTAGAGGCGGGGTCTCGCTCTTGCTCAGTCTGGTCTCGAACTCCTGACATTTAGCGATCCTCCTGCCTCAGCCTCCCAGAGTGCTAGGATTATAGGTGTGAGCCACTGTGCCTGGCCTGCTCTTCTTTTTCTACGCTCTTGTGGTAAGGGTTTAGATTATTGATTTGAGACTTTTCCTTTTTTCTAATGTATGCATTTAGTGCTAAAAATTTCTTTGTTATCACTGCTTTAGGTGTATCCTACACATTTTGATATGGTGTATTTTCATTTGCATTCAGTTCAATGTAATTTTAAAATTTTCTTTGAGACTTCATCTTTGATCCATGAATTATTTAGAACTATATTGCTTGGAGATTTTCATGTTATTATTCTATTATTGATTTCTAGTTTGATTCCATTATGGTTGGAGAATATATTCTGTACAATTTCAGTTCTTTTAAATTTGTTGAGATTTGTTTTATAGCCTAGGATATGGTCTATCTTGGTAAATGTTCAGTGGGCACTTGAAAAGAATGTATATTCTGCTGTTATTGGGTGGAATCTTCCATAAATGTTGATTAGATCCTCAATTGTTGGTGATTTTTTTTTGTTGTTGTTGGTTTGTTTTTTTTTTGAGACAGAGTCTCACTCTGTTCCCTGGGCTAGGGTGTCATGGTGTCAGTCAGCCTAACTCACAACCACCTCAAACTCCTGGGCTCAAGCCATTCTCCTGCCTCAGCCTCCTAAGTAGCTGGGACTGTAGGCACATGCCACCACGTGCCCAGCTAATTTTTTTCTATTTTTGTAGAGATGGGGTCTTGCTCTTGCTTAGGCTGGTCTTGAACTCCTGACCTCAAGCAATCCCCACCCCCCAACCTCCCAGAGTGTTAGGATTACAGGCATGAGCTACTGCACCCACCTTTTTTGGGGTTCTTTATCCTTGCTGATTTTCTGTCTAGTACTGTCAATTGTTGATAGAGTAGTATTGAAGTCTCCAGCTATAATTGTGAATTTGTCTATTTCTCCTTTCAGCTCTGAGAATTTTTTGTTTCACCTATTTTATAGCTATGTTGTTTAGTGCATACACACTTAGCATTGCTGTGTCTTCTTGGTGGACTGATCCTTTATCATTATATAATGTCCTTCTTTGTCTCTGATAATTTTCTTTGCTCTGAATTCTACTTATATCTGATATTAATTTATAAACATGTAATTTTATTTAATTATAATTAATTTAAATTTAAATAGGCACATGTGGCTGGTGGCTGCCATATTGGCAGTGCAGTTCTGGAAGGTGGAAAGAGCTATGACACAGATTTAATTAAAAGGTAAATTTTATAGTATGTTAGATGGTGATTAAGGCAATGGGGGTTAGCAGAAAAGAGGAGATTGGGATAGAGGAAGTGGGGTATGTGATATTCAGTTGGATAGTCAAAGAAATCATTGTATATGATACTTCAACAAAGATTTGAAGAAGTGAGGGAGTTAGCAATGCAAATATCTTGGGGAAGAATATATCAAGGGCTAGAAGGGAAGTAGGCCATTGTAAGAACTTTAGCTTTTACTTTGCATGGTGTGGCGAACCACTTGAGGGTTTGGAGCAGACCCAGATTCAATCTGACTTAGGTTGTATAAAGATTGTTCTGGCTGCTATGTTGAAAATAGACTGTAGGGGGCATGAATGCAAGCAGGGAAACCAGTTAAGAGACAGGAATATAGGTGAAAGATGATGGTAGTCATACCCAATGGCTAAAGCACATTTTCGTAAAAATTAGACATTTAGTTTTGGATATGAATCCCTGCCCTTGTGGAGCTTACACTTTGTCTGAGTACAGATAGTAAATAAATCAATAAAACATATGCTATGTTAGGAGATAATAATTCCTACGTAGAAGATTCAAGTAGAAAAGAGGGATAAATGGTGTTGGGGGACTGAGTTCCTGAGAAGGTAACATTTGAGTAATGATGAGGAGGTGGTGAAGAAATAAATCTTACAGATACCTGTGAGAAAAATAGTTCAGGTAGAGGGAACCAAGATATAAAGATTCCCCGGGAGTGCATGGATGTTGTGTTTGAAGCAGAGAAAGGACGCTAAGTGCGGCTGAAGTGGTACAAGTTAGGGAAAGAAGGTTATGGGCAACTGTGTGGAGGTAACAAGGGTTCACTTTATGGGCCATTTTAAGGGCTCCGGCTTTTATCCTTTGTGAGGTAGGAAGCTAATGGATGGTTTAGCAGAGGAGAGGCTTGATCCAGCGTACAGTTTAATTGAGTCACTCTGGCTTCTGTGCTAAATAGACTTAAGGGGCAAGGGTGGCAACAGGGCGATTGGAAGGGAGAATGTCACAGTAATTCAGGCAAGAGGCTGTGGTAGCTAATTAATTGTAGGATGGTAGCAGTGGAGGTGGTGAGGGATGATCGTGTTCTGAATACATTTTGGGGGTTACACTGACAAAATTGGCTTATCAGTTGGATGTGGGATGAGAGTAGTCAAGGGTCATTACAAGATTTTTGGCCTGAGCAATTGGAAGCATGGAGTTGCATTAACTGAGATCGGAAAGACTGGGAAGAGCAGGTTTGAAGGGGCTGATCAGGAGCTCAGTTTTGGACATGTTAAATTTATGATACCTATTAGATATATGACTGTAGGTGTTCAGTAGGCATTCTAGTTATATTTATGAATACTGCCTTCTGCTTTTTAAAAATGAAACAATGGTATTAAAACAGTATACTAACTGTTCTGAAATATATTACATTTTGTTAATATCTTAATTTTTAACATGTTCATTACTGGCAAAACCTGAATATTTTGGAGAGAGAAATTGACTACCTTTTGGTTTCGCTGCCAGAGTGGATGGTACTTTCTTAGAGTTAAATAAAGATGTCATTCGATTTTAGAAGTGGAAATATATAGTCTGAGTGTTTTTAATTGCTTTCTATTTTAGGTCCTTTTACAGCGGGATTGTGCAAGATATTTAACCCTGTTTTCTTTGAATTATGACTTAAATATCAAACATCTTAAATAAGAAAAGGGAAACATTTTAGTTTTGGAAGTCAGAATGCCAAGGAGAAAGAAAAATGTTGGGGGAAATCCTTTTCGGAAGACTGCAAACTCTAAGGAAGTTGTCGTATCCAGTGTTACTAGTCATGAGGAGCCAACTGCTACTCTTCCTTCCATGGGTGAGACAAAAGTTGATCAGGAAGAACTCTTCACCAGTATCTCAGAGATGTTTTCTGATCTGGATCCTGATGTAGTGTATTTGATGCTTTCTGAATGTGATTTCAAAGGTGAGAAAAAGTTTAGTTTGAACCCTTTGCATCTTATAAGAAGACTTTATGTACTATGCTATGACCAATAGTAACATAGAAAAATGACTGTGTTATTCCCATTTTATTCTTCATTTATTAAGCATCTGCTGTGGGCAAGTTATTAAGTTTGGTATTATGAGGGGTTTGAAGAATAAAGCATCGTTTCTGCTCTTAAGAAATGTATAGTTCTAGATGTATGACATATACATAGATATCATATTCTATGTTTTATCTCTTTTTATCTTCCCTCTAGAACAGGTTGGCACTATTGGCATTTTGGGCTGCATAAATCTTTGTTGTGAGTGGCTCTCCTGTGCAGTATAGGATGTTTATCAGCATCCCTGGCCTGTACCACCCACTAGATGCAAGCAGCACTCCACCTCTTCAGTTGTGACAATCAAAAATGTCTCCATATATTGTCATTTGTCCCCTGGGAGGCAAAATTGTATTTGGTTGAGAACCACTGTTCAGAATGTAAGCTCCATAAAGACAGAGGTTTTAAAAACTGTTTTGTTTTACTGCTGTGTATCCAACCCATAAAATAGCAAATGACCCATATTGGGAGCTTAGTAAATATTTATGAAGTGACTAGGTAATTATAATTATGAAAATAAGACCTGATTAAGAGTTGAGGCTAATAGAGTAATGTGGTTTCAGAACATTGGCTTTGGAGTTAAGAAACCTGGATTGGATTCCTATCCTAGCTCTGCCACTAACCTCTCATTTTTCTAATCCATTAATGAGAAAAATAATAGTATGTCCTATAGGACTTTTTTGGTGAGGATTGAGTTTTGTTTTTTGTTTTTGGTAAAATAATCAGTATTATTAATATTAATAACTGGTAATTAATCATTTAGAAGTATGTTTATAGACAGAAGGGAATCTATGTAAATTGGCTGAATGAGTAAATTAAATGTTGATGACTCAGTATTATTGGCCATGATTAGTATAAGATAAAATTATTCTAGATTTGTGAAGTTTTAGTAATGCATGTTAAACTTCTATTTCAGTCGTTGAGTGACTTGTGATGTGAGCATCTTATTTAGCTTGTTATGTACGCAGAGAACCAGGTCTTAGAAGTGCACATAATGCTCAGAAATGATAGTATATAGTGATATAAAAGTGTCTTCAACATTTATGTCCTCATTTTGATGTCTTTAAAATTTATTTGTTACACATACACTTAACATAGCAATGGAGAATTACAAGAAAACTATATTACCCTGTACCCTAACAAAAAACTTTTTTCTGTCTTCCAGAATCTTCTGTAGACTTTATTCAGAAACACTTGATATTTGAATAGTTTAAGTAATAGCATTGATGAAATTGTGTATTCTCCTTTTTTAATTTAACGTAAGCATTTTTTCGGTGTCGCTGAAATCTATATTTTTAATAGTTTTCTACTTTACTGTGGTGTTGTGCTCTCTTTAATTATATCTAAGTTTTTCATGAATAATTAATATTACAGAGAACATCTTGGTAAAAATAGCTTCTTCTTTCTTTTGTTTTTTTTTCTTAGTCTCAGAGCTTTACTTTCTTGCGTCACAGGGCTTTTGGCTCTTTTAACTATACTGCTGAATTGCCTACCAAATGACATGCGCCAGTTTGTAATGCCACCAGCACCGTATAACTGTAGTGGTGTTGCCATAGCCTTTTCAGCATTGTGTCATAGTATTTTAAGATTTTAATGGGAATATGGGAATAAAATTGTACCTTTTATTAAAAATTTGTGTTTTTTTAATATAGAGGAATGACGAACATTTTTGTACACAATTGTTCATTAATTATATTCTTGTGTAAATTGTTCATTCACTTTTTTGTTGTTTTCATATCATGGTTTTAATTTTTCCCAACAATTGTATAAGGACTTTTCTTTTGTGTGGTATCTCTGTATCTTGATCTTTTACTCATTTTTACTTAATGCTATTTTTCATCACATACATGTTATTATTTTTTTTTTTTAGTTGATCTTTTCTTTCTGGTTTTACTATCATGTAGATTTTTTTCATAGAAATACTTCTTATAATTTGCCACCTTCTTTTTTTTTCCATTTTTTTCATTGTTAGGGCTTCTAGCCTATGTAGTATTGCTATGATCTCCTGATTGGTCTCTCTGCCAGGCTTGCCCCCTCCAATCCCTCTTTGTTTTTCTTCTTAAGGGAACATTAATTGGGTGCTTACTAGGTGCCAGTCCTTATGCACAGCACTTTTTCATGGATTATGTCATTTAATCCTCACAGCAATCTATGAGGTAGGTACTTTTATTATCCCCATATTACAAATGAGAAAATTGAGATTGAGGGAAGTTAATTAACTTGTTCAAGGTGTCAGCAGTGGAGATTTAAATGCTGGTGTTCTGACTCCAGACCAGAGCTATTACCAGAGCTTTACTGTGTTGTTTCCTGATTTATCTTCCTTAAAGCAAGATAAAACACAAAAGAAACACCCCCATTCAAGTTCAAATGCTTAAAAACCCTAATGACTTCCTATTTGTGTTATAACAGAAAGAGCTCAGCATTGGAGTCAGACACGTCAGTCCTGGCTCTGTCACTTATTATCTATGTGACTTGGGCCAACTTAATGTACTTTCTGAACTTTCTTTTCTTTATCTATTTGCTAGGAATAATATATCTCATAGTATTATTTGAGGATTCAGTGGGGTGATATGTATAAAGTTTCAAGCTCAAATGCTATGACTGGTAGTTTTCCTCAAGTTCCCTTAGAAAATAAGATTAATATTTCTTAGCATGAAATACAGGCCTCTTCCCAGTTTCACCCAGTCTCCCTCTCCAGTTTGATTTCCTTCTCATCTACCACTGTGTGCCCACACTCCAACCAACTTTTTTTAACTCCTTAAACAAGCTTTGCATTTTTGTTCTCTCTGTTTTTTTTTTTTTTTTTGAGACAGAGTCTCACTCTGTTGCCTGGGCTCGAGTGCCGTGGTGTCAGCCTTGCTTACAGAAACCTACTCCTGGGCTCAAGCGATCCTCCTGCCTCAGCCTCTTGAGGAGCTGGGACTATAAGCGTGTGCCACCGTGCCCAGCTAATTTTTTCTATATATTTTTAGTTATCCAGCTAATTTCTTGCTATCTTTTTTAGTAGTGACAGAGTCTCGCTCTTGCTCAGGCTGGTCTTGAACTCCTGAGCTCAAACGATCCACCCTTCTCAGCCTCCCAGAGTGCTAGGATTACAGGTGTGAGCCATTGGGCCCGGCCAAAGTTTGCATTTTCAAGCCTGGGTTTACCTTTCCCCCTCTTGTGTCTGGTATATTACTTTTTCATCTTCAAGTTCAGTTCACATATCACCTTATGCAGAATCTTTTCTTAGTCTCCTATACACGTCTCAGCATTTGTACATTATCAGAAGTGTGCATTATTTAATCTCCTCTATTAGACTGCAAAATCCTTTGAGGGTAGCAAGGATTGTTTTATCTTTTTACAAAGTATTTCTGATACACAGAACATGCTCATAAATATTTTTTGTATTAAATGAAATTCATAGCATGGGCTATATAAATAAATTAGATTTACTAAGAGAATATGTAAAATACTACTTAAAAATACATACTGTAGGTAAGTATTTGTTGAATAAATCAACTGGCTTGAGGACCTTTATAAATAACCGTAATACATACAATTACAGATATTTATACATTTACTCAATAAATTCAGCAAAAAGTATTTACTTGATAGTTTATTACTGTTTGTCTGAAAGGACAACACTGCATGTCTCTCTCATTCAAACTTTTCACTAATGTAGACTTTGGTATATTAGTAAAATATTAATTTTGGGAAAAATGACTTGAATATTATAACTTTCTCTATATTCTATTCGATGCAAAAATCCAGTATGATTTTAGCTGGTTTTTAATACAATTTTTTCTCTCTATATATTTTTGTTATTGTTATTGTTGTTCTTGTTATTGTACAGTTGAAAATGCTATGGATTGTCTGTTAGAGTTATCTGCCACTGATGCCAAGATAGAAGAATCGTCTTCACAAAGTTTCATTGCTTCTGAGAACCAAGTAAGTGCAGCAGAAAGTGAAGTAATGGAAAAGTGTCCTCCTGAAGAAGAGAGTGAAGATTCAAAAATGGATTCATTTTTGGACATGCAGCTAACTGAAGACTTGGATTCCTTAATACAGAATGCTTTTGAGAAATTAAACTCTTCTCCTGATGACCAAGTATACTCATTTTTGCCTTTGCAAGATGTTAGTAGTTTTAATGACCCGAGTGAGTTTATAAATTCTGATTTAAGTACTATGACTCCCATTCTTTCTACACACAGTATGAATTTGAACAGTGAAAATTTAGAGAATTCTGCCTCCACATTAAGTTCAAACGCATTTCCTTCAGATTTGGTTTTCAATGAGTCCAAACATTTTATAAAGGATAACATGTTGGCATTGGAAGGTAAATACCCAGAAGATTCTCTTCTCAGTAGTTCTTTAAATCCAGCAAATGACTCTATTGTAGGTTGTAGCAATCTCGATCAAAAACAGAAAGAACTTTTAGAATCTGAGTGTGCTGAGGCTCAGTTCCCTCAAGCTTCTGTGCATCTGGATGCCAGTGAACCTCAGGCACCTTTAAGCCTTCCAGGGCTTGATTTACCAGGTACAGGTGGCGATCAGAAATCGACTTTTGTCTCTGATGTGTTTGTACCTTCTGAAGGGTTCAATTTTAAGCCACACAGGCATCCTGAACTGCCACCAAAGGGGAAGGATGTGAGTTACTGCCCGGTACTCACTCCCCTCCCTTTGCTGCTGCCGCCTCCCCCTCCGCCAGTGTGGAGCCCAGGGGTTCCTGCTTTGGACCTCTTTCATGGGAGCCGTGGCTTTGTAGCTCCTGTTGTGACCACAGCTGCACACTGGAGACCTGTCAACTATACGTTTCCACCCTCAGTTATTTCTCACACTTCCCCAACAAAGGTATGGAGGAACAAAGAAGGAACAAGTGCTTATCAAGTACAAGAAACCCCCGTTTCTCAGGTTGTAAGAAAGAAGACAACATCTTACGTAGGACTAGTTCTTGTTCTTCTCAGAGGCCTTCCTGGATCAGGAAAATCTTTTCTGGCAAGGTATGAAGTTAATTGAGTTTTTAAAAAAGAGTTTAATGCCTGAATATGAACAGGTAGTGTGAATATGCACAATGCTTTGCTTAGTAGAGATCTTTAATAACCTCTAGAATGTTCTCTCTCTCTTTTTTATTATTTCTACATATTATGGGGGTACAAATGTTTAGGTTACGTATGTTGCCCTTGTCCCCAGTCCCCATAGAATGTTCTCTTTTTACTAAATTTTTCTGACTTTGTGTTCTCTAGAAGTTTTTTTGGTTTGTTTTTTAGAGACAGGGTCTCACACTGTCACTTAGGCTGGAGTACAGTGGCCTTGTGTAAGAATTTTTGTCTTTTTTGTTTCAAACAATTTTGTTGAAACAATGCCTGGCACTTAATGGATGCTCTAGAAATGGACTTTACATCTTCAGAAAAGGATAATTAACCATTTGTTCATCTTCAAACCTTCATATAGTTAAGAATAAAGGTCTTTATAATGTTAAAAAAAAGTTTCTGAATAATAATTTACATGAAGCAAAATAGACCTGCCTTAGGTCAGTTTTTTTGGAGTTAAACTTCTGCTCAGAGGATTTTCAATATGATTTGTTTGAATATTATAATATTCTTACTCTTTTAAATGATACTATATGAGTTATTTATTTGGATTATGACTTTGAAAGTTAGGAGAAGGAATTTAGAAGAAAAATTAATGAAAATAATTCCATTTGTTATTCACAGGACTTTGCAAGAGGATAATCCGAGTGGAGTCATTCTTAGTACTGACGATTATTTTTACATAAATGGACAGTATCAGTTTGATGTAAAGTACTTGGGAGAAGCACATGAATGGAATCAGAATCGTGGTAAGACTAAGCATTAGATTCTGGGTAATATTAAGAGTAATACAGGCTGGGCACAGTGGCTCATTCCTGTAATCCTAGCACTCTGGAAGGCTGAGGTCAGAGGATCGCTTGAGCTCAGGAGTTTGAGACCAGCTTGAGCAAGAGCAAGACTTGGTCTCTACAAAAAATAGAAAAAACAGCTGGGTGTGCTGGCATGCACCTATAGTCCCAGCTACATGAGAGCCTTGAGCCCAGGAGTTTGAGGTTGCAGCGAGCTATGATGATGACATGGCACTCTAGCTGGGGCGACAGAGCAAGACCTTGTCTCATAAAAAAAAAAAGAGTAATATAAAGAAAAAAATTCACTTAATATATTTGTATTTTGGGAGATATAAGTAAGACATATAACTTAAATTTATAATCACTTTAATTCTATGATTATATAATACATAAAATTATAACCATAATTAACATTAATTTTCATGTTACATAATAAGAGGTAAAAGAGGTGGTCTTACAGAGTTGTTATGAGGATTAAAAGAATTAATTTTTTTTTTTGAGAATCTCACTCTGTTGCTTGGGCTAGAGTGCTGTGGCGTCAGCCTAGCTCACAGCAACCTCAAACTCCTGGGCGCAAGCGATCCTACTGCCTCAGTCTCCTGAGTAGCTAGGACTACAGGCATGTGCCAACATGCCCGGCTAATTTTTTCTATATATTTTTAGTTGACCAATTAGTAGAGAAGGGGTCTTGTTCTTGCTCAGGCTGGTCTTGAACTCCTGACCTTGAACAATCCTCCCGCCTCAGCCTCCCACAGTGCTAGGATTACAGGTGTGAGCCATCACGCCCAGCCAAAAGAATTAATTTTTATAAGGTACTTAGAATATTGTATGGCATTTTTAAGTATTATTTAATCAATGAGGATCTTGTCAGAAATAAATTTGATTTTCTACTTAGGTCTCAGAATAGCTTAAGGAAGTTATAGTTTTCTGGTATGCTTTGGTTCCTGTTTTCTAAGAGGCAATTTGCATTGTTAACCATAATTTTTATAGAGGATAGTATGAGAATAAAATGGCTCTCTTCAAACTGAATCTGTAGGGAGATCATAGGTAAAACCTTAGTTTCCTTATTAGTACAGCTGTCTATTCACTGAGATGATTTTCTTATTAAATGTTTAATTATTTGCATAATTTGAATTTTGTATGGAGAATTCTTATTAAGAGACACAGAGCATATTTTACTTAGCCTTTCTTCTTTTATGATAAATACACTCTGAGGGCGGTTCTTGAGTTTGCCATCTTTAGAGACTGGTATTTTTTTTTTATTTTATTTTTTTTTTATTTTGGCATATTATGGGGGTACAGATTTTAAGGTTTCAATAAATGCCCATTCCCCCCCTCCCCCCAAAAGTCTGAGTCTCCATCATGACGCATCCCCAGATGGTGCACATCTCACTCATTATGTATGTATATACCCGCCCGTCCCTCCCCCCTGCCCAATACCCTATTACTGTAGCACCTGTGTGTCCACTTAGGTGCTACTCAGTTAATACCAGTTTGCTGGAGAATATACTCTGGTGCTTGTTTTCCATCTTGGGATACTTCACTTAGTAGTATGGGTTCCAGCTCTAACCAGGAAAATAAGATGTGCTATATCACATTGTTTCTTAGAGCTGAATAGTACCCCATGGTATACCACACATTTATTAATCCATTCTTGGATTGATGGACACTTGGGCTGTTTCCACAGCCTTGCAATTATGAATTGTGCTGCTATAAACATTAGACGTGCAGGTGTCTTTTTTGTAGAGTGTCACTGGATCATTTGGGTAGATGCCCAGCAATGGGATTGCTGGATCAAATGGTAGATTCACTTGTATCGCTTTAAGGTATCTCCATATGCTTTCCACAGAGGTTGAACTAGTTTGCAGTCCCACCAGCAGTGTAGGAGTGTTCCTCTCTCTCCCTCCGCAACCACGCCAGCATTTATTGTTTGGAGATTTTTTGATAAAGGCCATTCTCACTGGGGTTAAGTGATATCTCATTGTGGTTTTGATTTGCATTTCCCTGATGATTAGAGATGTTGAGCATTTCTTCATATGTTTGTTGGCCATTCTTCTGAGACTGGTATTTTTTTAAGTTAAAAAATTTTTCAATTTAGAAAATTTTTTCTTTCATGTTAGATGGGTAATGTGCTGATGTCGTAACAAGGTCTGAGGGAGGCATATTTTACGTGAGTGTGAACACCCAATCATTATGCTTATGAACTATAAAAGGATTTTCAGACATTATTAAATTTTTGTATATTATAGTTCTTTCTTGAACTAAAAATTAAAGTGAGAACTTAGGACTATGAAAATAATACAAACACAACTAAAAACAAAGGAGGCAGTATGATGTGGTGATGAAGATCAACCTTGAATTCACTAGTTACTAGCTGTGTGATCTTGGGCAAGTTATCCCAGGATTGCTGAAAAGGTTAAATGAAAATAAAAGTGCTTAGCACTTGTTCAGCATGCCCTTATGACAACAATAAGCACAGTAATAATAATAATAATATATTAATAGGCAGAACTCTCTTTAAAACCACTTTATTGATCTATAATTCACCCATATATTTATTTATTTATTTATGAATGAATGAGAGAGACAGGATCTCACTCTGTTGCCCAGGCTGGAGTGTGGTCGCAGCCTCCAACCGCTGGGCTCAAAAGCAGCCCTCCCACCTCAACCTCTTGAGTAGCTGGGACTACAGGCATGTGCCACCATGCCCTGCTGAATTCACCCATTTAAATTATGCAATTTAGGCAGCTCATGGTGGCTCATGCCTGTAAACCTAGCACTCTGGGAGGCTGAGGCGGGAGACTGCTTGAGCTCAGGAGTTTGAGAGCTTTGAGAGTTTGAGCTATGCTGATGCCATGGCACTCTAGCCTAGGTGACAGAGTGAGACCTTCTCAAAAAAAAAATGCAAGTTAGAATTTAATATTCAGAATTATGTTTTCATCACCACAGTCAATTTTAGGAAATTTTTATAACTTCAAAAAAATTCTGTACCCATTAGCAGTCACTCATTTCTCCCCAATGTACTTTTTGTCTCTGTAGGTTTGCCTATTCTGGACATCGTTTTTTTTTTTTTTAGATAGAGTCTTGTCTGTTGCCTGGGATAGCGTGTAGTGGCCTCATCATAGCTCACTGCAACCTTACACTCCTGAGTTCAAGCGTCCTTCTGTCTCAGCCTCCCCAGTAGCTGGGACTATAGGTGCACACCACCATGCCTAGTTAATTTTTCTATTTTTTTGTAGAGACAGGGTTTGCTTGCTCAGACTAGTCTCGAACTCCTGAGCTCAGCAGTCCTCTTGCTTTGGCCTCCCACAGTGTGAGCCACTGCGCCAGGCCAATTCTGGTTATTTTAATAGAAATGGAATCATACAATATGTGGTCTTTTGTGATTGGCATCTTTCATTTAGCATAATGTTTTCAAGGTTCATCCATGTTGTAGCATGTATTAGTACTTCATTTCTCTTTATGGCCGAATAATATTTCATTGTATGTTCATTGTATGTATATACCACATTTTATTAACCTATTCATCAGTTGATGGACAAATGGGTTTTTTCTACTTTTTGGCTATTGTGAACAATGCTGCTATAAATGTACATGTCTATGTTTAACCTTTTTAGGAACCACAAAGGTGTTTTCCAAAGCAATTGCACCATTTTATGTTCCCACTAATAGTTTATAAGAGTTTCAGCTTCTCCACATTTTCACCAACACTTATTATTTGTCTTTTTGATGACAGCTGTTCTGGTGGGTGTGAGTGGTAGCTCATTGTGGTTTTGATTACATTTCTCTGATGGCTAATGATGTTGAACATCTTATTGTATGCTTATTGACCATTTTTATATCTTCTTTGGAGAAATGTCTGTTTGTATCCTTTGCCCATTTTTAAATTGGGTTATCTTTTCATTATTTAGTTGTTTAAAGACAACTTAAAACTTCCAGATAAATTCCTTATAAGACTTTGTCATGATACCTCCTGAATGGTCTAATTCCTTGGTGGGGAGAAAAAAGGTAATTTTATAGGAAAATCCCTTGTACAACAATATAATGTTTTCTTTTTTCAAATCATTACATTGTGTATGTATATTTGTCCATTTATGTTTTTGTTTGTTTTCAAACTTTGTTTTGGAATAATTTTAGATTTCTGGAAAAGTTGCAAAGATAGTATAGAGAGCTTCTATATACTGTTCACACATTTTTCCCTCATGTTAACATCTTATGAACTGTGGTACCTTTGTCAAAACTAGGAAATTGGTACATTATTATTAACTAAACTCCAGACTTTATTTGAATTTTAGTTTTTGTACTAAAGTATTTTCTGTTCCAAAATCTAAACCATGATATCCTGTTGCTTTTAGCATGATATAATTTGGTCTGATTATTATATAACTTTAGTATTTATTTATTATTGTTCAGCATTTACCCATACTTTAATATTTTATGTACTCAAAAGTGATATTTAGAAGTTGAGTAGTGAATAAAATTAATACATGTCTGTGATTTCCAAATTATGAAAGTCCCAGCTACTTGGGAGGCTGAGGCAGGAGGATCACTTGAGCCCAGAAGTCTGATTCCAGCCTGGGCAACACAGTGAGACCCCATCCTTATTAAAATAAAATAAAATAAAAAAACCCAAGATAATTCTTAATATTGTTATTAAAAGTTATTTGTTATTTTCTGTTGTGTTTTTCAGCAAGAGAAGCATTTGAGAAGAAGATAACTCCTATAATAATAGACAATACAAATCTACAGGCATGGGAAATGAAGCCATATGTTGCTTTGGTTTGTACTATAAGTTATAAATTTAGAGTAGTGGGTTTGAAATTATTGGAGGATGTTATTTATTTACACAAGTGAATCTCAAGCACTTGAGAATCTCAGAATATTGGATTGTCTATAACTGAGCTTTCTTTGGTCTTTAGTAAGATGAGAAAAATAGGACAGTATAGCTGAGTTTTTCCATAAAGCTAGATTTGTTCAGTTTTTAAATTCTAAAATTCAGTTTATTTTCTTCTACAACTCATGGGGCTGAATGAAATTCAATTTTTAAATTCTGAGATTTTTGGGAGGTGTTTTTAATGAAAAAGTAGTGGTATTAAATTATAATTTTATGGGTTTTTTGGTGTGTATATATGTAATATATATATTTATATTTCTGATTCCTCTTGGAAGAATCAATATTGGGTAGTCCTTTGTTATTCTCCAAATTTCTTTTTAAATTTTGCTATTCTCAGATATTCTGAATTCTGTAAACTCAACTATTTTCTGTGAATCTGCTAGATTCCTTTTCATATCTAGTGCTTCTCCCTTTACTTGGGATATACCTGCTCCTCTACGTTTACTTGTTCTTTTTTGCCCAGCTTTGATGTCACTGCTTTCAAGAAATTAGCCATCATTAACTTATTAAAAAGCTGAATTTAGGTACTCAGTTATCCTTGAGTAGGAGAGAGGGGGGAGTACACAGGCACAGGGCTTGGCTGTTAGATTATAGCGAAATTAGAGCTTTGAAACATATGATGAGATATTGTTTAAAATAGTTTTAGAATTATAAAGGGCATGCATGTGTATGGTAAATAATCAAAGAGTGCCAAAAGTTCTACTCCCTAGAGATAGATGCTTTTTTCTTTTAAGAGGTAGATGCTTTTAATAGTATTTTTGAGAATTGAGATGTTTTCTATGTGTGTACCAATGTTTAAATAATCCTTTTTACTTAAGTGAAAATTCTTTATCTTAACAATTTATTTTAAGGACATTTTCTCAGTAACATATATAGAATTAAAAAAATACTGTATAATATTATCACCTTATGATTTTACTTTCATCTATTCAGCCCATTCTGTATTAATAGTCAGTGAGTTATTTGTATTCTTTTGCTTATAAATAATGGTGACCTCGATATCCTGGCATATATTGTATTTATCTTATTTAATACTTATATGTGATAAGTATTTATCAGTAGCATAAATTTCTGGAAGTTAATTGCTGGGTCAAAGAGTATTTTGTATATTTTGCCAGTTTAACATATCCATATAGATGAGATAATGTTTTAGGTTCTTTCTTTTTTTAACATGCTATGAGTTTGGTGTCTCACCCTCTGGATGCCAAAAATATATATAAAAAAAACATGCTGTGAGTTTGGAAACAAATTTAATTTCATGGAAATAATTATTTAAAAATGTTTTTGTCTCTTTTGTATGTAGTCTCAAAAACATAAATATAAAGTCCTTTTCCGGGAACCAGAAACATGGTGGAAGTTCAAACCAAAGGAACTTGCAAGGTAAAACTTGGAGAGGGTATCTAACAAGCTTTTTATTTTATGACAGTTATAGAAAATCATCTAGATTTTTCCCCTTGCAAATGATGAATGAATTGGTTAGATTGCAACTTTGCCACTTAAAAATTGATAACAAATTTTGTATTGCTTATGGGTCTTTGTCTCTCTCTGTCACCCAGTTTGGAGTGCAGTGGTCCCATCATAGCTCACTGTAACCTTGACTTCCTGGACTCAAGTGATCCTCCAGCCCAGCCTCCTGGGTAGCTGGGACTATAGGTGTACACCACCGTGACTGGTTAATTTTTTAATATTTTGTAGAGATGAGGTCTCACTATGTTGCCTAGGCTGGTGTCAAACTCCTGGGCTCAAGCAATCCTGTTACCTTGGCCACCCAAAGTGGTGGGATTATAGGAGTGAGCCTCTGTGCCTGGCCTCAATTGTCTTATATGCTCAGTACTTTATTACCTTTAATAACAAGTTAATATCTGAAACTAGAACAAATGCTAGGATTTGGCACACCTGACCCACCTCTACTGGAAAAGGCAAATTATTGTATCTGCCTAGTGACTTAGAATACTGGAAGGTAGTAAGGAGGTAGAGATAAAATAGCCAATAGCTAGCTGTCTGGGTATTTTGGTCTCCCCCTACTTCCCTTCAAAGCTGTACTTTTTTTTATTTGGTTGCTTGACTTGAGCAAAAGTGTTACTAGGGCATGGACATACAGTGTGTTTCGCTTTGTGCTCTGTGTTTCCTTAGAGCCCTAACTTAATTTTGGTCAAGCTATTTTTTTCTTGATAACTTAAACTAATTTCAATACTAACTAAAGGACAACCTAATTTTAGTATATCCACAATGTTGTGTGATCATCACCACTGTCTAATTTTGGAATATTTCCATCCCTTCATAAAGAAACCCCTTATTGCTAGCAGTTACTCCCTCTTCTCCCTCCTCTTGGCAACCACTGATCTGTTTTCTGTATCTATGGACTTTTCTATTGTGGACATTGCGTATAAGTGGAACGTATAATTTATGGTCTTTTGTGTCTGGCATCTTTTCACTTAATGTTTTTAAGGTTCATCCATGTTATAGCATATGTCACTACTTAATCTCTTTTTTTTTTCCTTTTGATACATTAGTGGATTGAATTTTCTAATATTCTTTTTAGGATTTTTGCATCTGTATAAATGAGTAGATTGACCTACAGTTTTCTCTTCTTTGATCTGCCTTGCCTGACTTTGGTATCATAGTTTTAGGCTCATAAAATTGGGAAGTATCTCCTCTTTTTCTTTTTTCTAAGTTTATCTAAGTTTGAATGTTTGTTAGAATTATGTACAAAATTCTCTGAGAATGAATGTTCAGTTGGAATTTTTCCTGTACACCAAAGTTTTTCAATTTATTAAGACTTTATTAAAACAATTATGGTAGTTTCTTATTGTTTACATCTCTGCCGTGTTAGCAGTTAAGTTCCCCCTTTCAATCTTAATATGTTTACATTATCTTCCTTCTTTTTTCCTTCATTATTCTCACCAGAGATCAAATTTCTTTTTTACTAGCCTTTTCCAATAAACAACTCTTGGCCTGATTGATCTCCATTGTAAGTTTGTTTTATGTTTAATTCATTTCTGTTTCTCTTTATTCTAACTTTTTGCTGTTTAAAAAATCTATTTTTCTTTTTTTAATTCTGTCATTTTTTTAAACTTCTTTACTTGAAGGTTTAGGTCATTTTCTAATATGAGCATTTGATCTAAAATTTCCCTATATACTACTCTAGCCACTCCAGAATTTTAATATATAATACTTTCTTTTTGTTATTATTTAGTGACTTTCTAATTTGCATTATTATTAATTTTATTCTTTAACTCTTGGGTTAATTTAGAACTGTATTTTTTAGTTTCTGAACAGGTGAGTGTTTTATATTTTTTTTAATAATTTGGTTTTTAACTTAACTGCAGTGGGTCAAATTGTGTAGTTTTTGTGATACTAATTCTCTGATATTTTTAAAGACATTTTATGGCTTAGTTAATTGTCAGTTTTTTATAAATGTTTCATGTTAAGAATGTATATCCATTAACTCATACACCCTCAATATATCCGTTTACTCATGCTTATTAAATCTGTTGCTCATACCTCCTATGTTTGAGAGTGGAATGGTGAAATGTCTTTGTTATGTTGAACATGTCAGTTTCTCCTTATAGTTATACCTGTGTTTGCTTTATACGTTCTGAGGGTATTTTTTGAAGTACATACAAGCTTAAGATTTTTATATTACTTTAATTAATTGAACCTTTTAAGCTTTTCTAGTGATTTTCTTTTGCCTTTGATAGTAATTTTTGTTGTAAAGTCTGATTTGTCTAATATTAATAGAATTGTACTATTTTGCTTTTAGTTAGTACTTGAATGTTATTTCTTTTTTCATACTTTTACTTTCAATATTCTTATGTTAAGTATCTCTTGTAACCATTATGGCTGGGTTGTAAGAAATCCACTCTGTCCCCTTTGGCTTTTAACTGATAAACTTAGTTCTTTTATAGTTATTTTGGTTATTCATGTAATTGATCTTGCTTATTGTCTCATTCTGTGCTTTCTATTTATCTCACCTTTTCTGTGATTGTTCTCCTATTACAGAAAATTCTATAGTTGGATTTTTTTTTCCTGTCATTCCTTATTTTGGATTTTTTAATTGATTGAATCCAAGTTTTCTTACTCAATTTTTTTCATCTCTACTAATTTGGAAATTGCATATACTATTTTTGTTCTTTTAGTGGTTATCTTACAAGTTTTAAAATGCAAACTTTAAAGTTAAACCATTTTCTTAGCTTTCCTCCTTACAAATATAGGACTTTAAAACATTTTGTCTCTGATACCTCCCTCCCAACTTACACGCTACATTGTCCAGAATATACAGACAGTATTTGTTTTCACTTATTCATGTAGCTATTGCTTTCTGCTTCATTTTTTCTTATATCATAGACCTTTCATTTGGGAATTTCCTTCTGCCTGACATTCATCTTTGAGAATTTTCTTTACAGTGAGGGCCTGTGTGGTGTTAAACTCTTTTTTTATAGATCTGCAAATCCTTTTATAGCTCTCATTCTTGTAAGATACTTTTGCTGGATATATATATTCTAGAAAGACAGTTATTTTCTGTTGTTGAAGGTAAAACACTAAACTCTCTTCTGACTTTCATTATTACTGTTAAGCCAGCTGTCATTTTAATTGTTGCTTTCTTTGTAGATGACTAGTTTTAAAACAATTTTTAAAATATTTGTAGTTGCTTTTAATATCTTTGTCTTTGGCAAATGACCATTTCAGTACTATGTTTCTAGTTGTGGATTTTTTTTTTTAATCTTGTTTGGGATTTGTTGGGCTTCTGAAATCAGGGGTTTGGTGTTTTTCATCAGTTCTGGAAAATTCTTGGCATTTGCTTCTGTCCCATGCATTCTCTTCTCTTTCTGGGACTTCAATTAGATGTATAGTAGACCTTTTTGCTCTGTCCTCTATGTCTATGTCTCTTAACCTCTCTCTCATATTTTCTATCTCTTTGCTTCTCTGTGATTTGAAGCCAGACAAGATTGAGGTAGGTAAATATGAAAGCCAGATTTGCCCTAGTGGCAAATGCTAATATTATCCCTGGGATCCAGGGATCCTGGGATCCACAAAGCCTTGACTCTAACCCAAGATAGCAGAGTTGCAACTGAGATGTTTGCATGAAGACAAGACCTTTGAGAGACTAATGCATACCATCTTACCTCCTGGCAGATGCAAATCTAGATGCTGTATAAATTGAAAGTACCCCCAGTTTAAGGCCTAAGGATTCCCATATATTAAGTTTAACCAAATATGAGCTCATAAACAAATATATAAGTAACCCACCATGGGTGAAAACATAAACAACAAGCTTCATATTTGGACATCCAGATACTTCAATACGAGGAATTTTTTTCTTTGTTTGAACTTAAAATGTATTTAAAAATATGTTTGCTTTAATTCACTTGGAATCTAGTTTTATTGTGACAGCAGAGCCCATTGGGACATATAGTCTGTCATACTGGCATAAGTGGAAACCTTTATAGTGGAAATTTTAAGAGAGAGCATCTCACCTGTTGCCCAGCCTGGAGTGCAGTGGCCATAGCTCACTGTAACCTTGAATTCCTGTGCTTAAGCAGTCTTCCCAAGAGCTGAGATTATAGCAGCATGCTACCACACCTGGCACATTTTAAAAATTTTTTGTAGAGATAGGGTCTTGCTGTGTTGCCCAGGCTGGTCTTGAACTCCTGGCCTCTAGCAGTTCTCTGGTCTCAAGTGATTCTCCTGCCTCAGCTTCCCAAAGGGTTGTGATTACAGGCATGAACCACTGATGGTTGTGCTTCTCTTATGAGATTTTTTTGCAGAGCTTGGAAATAACTTCTTTTGAAGTTATTGGGATCTATTTTTCCAAATTGATAAGAGTGTTTGGAAAAGATTATATGGAATGATTAATAAAATGATAATTTAAGAATCCTTAATAAAATGAACATTAGAATCAAAACACATATATTGTGTCATAATAAGCTAGCTTTGATATTCTTATGTATTAGAAATATATCATTATTTTTCTGAACATATCATACAGTTTTTAAAAACGTAATTACCAATATTTCTTCAACTCTCTTCTCCCTTGGAATTTTCAGGCGTAACATTCATGGTGTAAGCAAAGAAAAAATAACAAGAATGTTGGAACACTATCAACGTTTTGTTTCAGTGCCAATAATCATGAGTTCTTCGGTTCCAGAGAAAATTGAACGTATTGAGTTGTGTGCATATTCTTGTGAGGATAAAAGTACTGGGTAGGTTAAAATGCCTTATGTACAAAATTCAATTTGAGATATTTTAAAGAAGTATAATTTTGGAGCTTAGAAATCACTGCTGATGAAGTTTAGAAATAAGGTAGACTTTTTGTTATTGGTAAAGGTTTAGATATATAGTCTTACCTGGAGTGGAATCTATATAGTGAGCAAGAGAAGTAAAAGTTCATGTGAGAGATGACGTGAGAGTTTTTTCATTGTCCTCAGAATTTTGTAATTCCATGATTATACTATGAAACTCCTGCCCTTTTTATGTAATGTCCTCTGCTATTCCAATATTGCCCTTATCTTCTTGTTATTGTTATTTTGTATCTACTTAACATCATTTCTTATTTCCTTAGGTTTTAGTAAAAATAGCCTTTTAAACTAATATTATAAAAATTAATTATTAATGGTATACTTAATAATATAATCATAGCTTTCTAAAAGTTTACAGTCTGAGATAGTACTGTTTTTATTAAGCATTTAAGACACTTAAACAATTGAATAAATGAGTTAAGAAGAACCTAAATAAATGTATAGGTCTAAATCATCTATATTTTATGATGGTAACGGATGGAGAGACTATGTTATAAAGGAATTGGGAGTGGAGAAGAGAAAATTTATAAATGCTTTTTTATTGGGAAGCAGTGTAGTAAAGTGATTAAGAGCATGGCCTCTTGAGCTGTATTTCCTGAGTTCAAATCCTGAACCTTTGTAATCTTTGACAAGTTCCGAAATCTCTCTATACTTCAGCTCCTAATTTTTCAAATGGCAGTAATAGCCCTCTGTTCATAAAGATCTCATAAGGATCATGAAGTAATACATGTAAAGGACTTAGAATAGCATCTGGCACATACAAAACTCAATTAATGTTAGGTATGGTTTCACTTAGGAAGCCTTCATGGGAGAGTTGGGACTCTGAGAGCTCCTGGAATAAGGAAAGAAAGGAAGATGAATTGACAAATTGAATAAGGAAAAATCACTGAAATTGAAAGTATAATGATAGGTAAAAGTGTTCCGAGTCTGAAATCAACATTGAAGATGGTTTTAAAAAATTTCACAAATGACATTTCAAATGAATTCTCTCCCTGCTTTCTTTAATTTCTCTTAATCCTACAAATCATGTTCCGTTGGCTCTTTGTGGCTTTGTGAGTGGAGCTTCCTCTGCAGCAAATGATAGATTGGTAGTAAAGAGGCAGACCTAGTTTTACAAATGCAAGGCTTAGATAGGTCAGAAAGAAGCCAGGAACAAATTCAGAGCTTTGACATTAATATTTCATGCATAAATAAACACCTAAACTGAAATCTCATATATACTATTTAATTGGAAAAAAGTTTGAGTGCTTCATATATGCCAGGTATCATGGTAGGTACTAGGTTTATAAGAAAGGAATGTGTTCATAGTGTATTAGTGAAAGCTTAAGATTAGCTTTTTTAATTTTAATGTTTATTTCTAGAATTTTCAGAATAAATGTAAGTTCACTGTCAGGTGAATGCTTCTTTAAATTAAATATACTATTAATGACAGCAGTAAGAGATTTCCTTATGATACTTTAAAAAAAAAATCTTACAGCCCAAGAGAAAATGAAGATATCACCTCTGAAAAAGAAGAAAATGTTTTATCCTCATCGTTGAAGCACCTAGAGTTAATTGAAGAGAAGAGTCTTGAAGTGACCAAAGAAACTATGTTACCTGAGAATGTTACGTATCTCCCTGATGCAGATTTAAACAAAGGAAGAAAAGAAATAAGTGGTATGAGGCAAAACATTCAAAGTACTAACATTCAGGAAGTTCCACACATGTATTTTTCTGACTCTGAAAGCAAAGTAAGAGTGATGGACAAAAGTGAAGAAGAAGTAGAAATGTCATCTGAAAAAGAGTGTGGTAAAACTGATGCAGATAGTTTTGTTGAGAGAGTATCACTGAGTGTTTGCTATGATGAAAATAATCAAGAAAATTGTGATCTTGTAAATACTGTATCCCTTCAAAACGAAAAATCTTCACCTGGCGAAACATTAGAAGAAAGAGCAACAGTAAAGAAAAAAGCCTTTGGGAAACAAAAAAGTAAATTGACTTTGGAAAAGTTCCCAAGACATGAGCTATCAGATTTTGTTGGTGACTGGCCAGTTGATAAGACTATTGGTCAGAGGACAAAAAGGAACCGAAAAACTGAAAAAACATCTGTACAAAGTGACAGAAAGTATAATTGCCCTCAGTCATGCAAAGTATTAGATAATAGTGTATCTGTGAATATAGATTGTATCCAGAAACAAGGATCTCCACACGAAAGTGTAAAGGATGGCAAGAAGTCACAGGGTGATGCTGTTTCAGAGTCACTCAATAGCTGTAAATGCAATCCTTGTAAAAATACTGAAAAAAACTCATTCAGCATTGTGGGAGATTGGCCTTCATCTGACTCTTTAGCTCCGAGGGAGCACAGATCAAGAATGACAAAGACTGGTTTAAATGAACCCAACCTAGAACTTGGAACAAATGACAATATGAGTGAAATATTTTTATACACAGCACGTGAGGCCTGTTGGGACACAAACCTTGAAAAACTAAGAACATTGGGCAGCTCCAGTCTAGAAAATTCCGAAATGCTACCCAGTGAAATGAGCTGTGAGAGTCAGAGTTGTCTAAGTAAAAAGATTCATGGGCAATACACGTTGCCTCTTACCAATAGCGCACCAACTATTCCTGGAATAGTAGGACCACAAACTTCAGCTGAATTTCCAGAGGGAATGCCTCAAGGAGTCCCTGGAATAGAAGTAGGCATATGTACTCAGACTGAACCACAGGATTTTGCTCTCTTATGGAAAATAGAAAAGAATAAAATTAGTATTTCAGATTCTGTCAAAGTATTAACAGGAAGATTAGATGGATTTAAGCCGAAAGTTTTCAATATTAACACAAACTCAGACGTTCAAGAAACAATTCCATATAGGGTGATGTATGATAAAAGCACATATGTTGAAGAAAGTGAGCTTACCAGTGCTGATGAATCTGAAAATCTTAACATTCTTTGTAAGCTATTTGGATCTGTTTCATTAGAAGCCCTAAAAGACTTATATGAGAGGTGTAATAAAGATATTATCTGGGCCACAAGCCTTTTGTTGGATTCTGAAACTAAATTATGTGAAGATACTGAATTTGAGAATTTCCAGAAATCATATGATGAATCACAAATTGGGCCATTTTCTCTGGGATTGAATTTGAAAGAAATTATTAGCCACAGGGGAACTTTAGAGGATTCTAATTCTTCCTTGCCGGAATTTAGCCATGGATTTGCTGTCAGTAACACTAATACACAGTCCACCTGTGATGCAGAAAATGAAAACTCAGAGCAGGCAGAAATAAGAGCTATAACTCCTGAAAAACCTGATTTAATAACAAGTATATTTCCTAGTGCTGCTGTAGATCTAAAGAATAATAGTGAAACACTTCCTAACAGTCGGGCAGAACTTTTACATAGCATTAAGCAGACTTTTCCAGGTATTTCAAAAGCTACTACCCCTAAAGATGTGTGTGAAATGGAGAAAAATCTAGTAATCACAGAGACTGGAGACAATATACATTCTTCTTTAAATCTGTCTATTTTAAACTCTGTGTCAAGCACTTCAAATCTTGAATTAAATGAAGAAATTTATTTTATGGACTCTATTGAAATAAAGAAAAACAAAAATCTTCCAAAGGATTATATGAAATTTCCAAACACAGAAGAATTTATGAATGAAGATGAGCAGGAAATGGAGAAAATTCTAATGGCAGGGAGTAGTTTGTCAGCTGGAGTTAGTGAAGAAGATAAAACTGAAATATTGAATCCCACTCCAGTGATGACCAAATCTCTAACCATAGACTGTCTGGAATTGGCATTACCCCCTGAACTGGCTTTTCAACTCAATGAATTATTTGGCCCTGTTGGTATTGATTCAGGTAAGGAAAAAATAAATTAGCTACATGGATGCCTTTGTGTGAATAGACTATAGAGAGTTCTATTTTGATTATAAAATTATTTCATATTAATGTATAATATATACTATGTATACACATTATATATATGTATAACATATATACTAACTGAAATGTAAAAGTAATTTGTGTTGCCTAATTTCACGTAGTGTCTTATTTTTGACACAACATGTTTTAGAGGATTTTTAAAAATCTAACTTGAAGAAATAGGGAATATTTGCATGGAGTTTGTGTTCATTCTATGTATATGAAAGTTTCCTCCAGTATTTACTGCACACATATTTGTACAGATGAAGCTTCTTGAATCCCCTGGTGCTACTCCAGATACATTTAGGCAAGATTGATTTTTTTAGAATAAATTTATTGAAAAGTCTTGATGAATGGAAATAAATATATTTAGACTAACAGAAATGTATAACTTAAAATAGATTTATCTATTATTTAAAATAGATTTATTATGAAGCTTTGTATAATTTTTATTATTTAAGAAGTATGAAAACAACATAGCATATAACATAAAGATATTATAAGAGATTTAGTAAATAGAAACATAAATTAGCAATTAATGATACAAGTTAGTTTTATGATGTATAAGGTGGTTGAATGTTTTTTGCAAATACATAATGAGTAATGATTATATTTTCTTTTCTTCCTCCCCCACCCCCTAAGGATCTCTAACAGTTGAGGATTGTGTGGTTCATATAGATCTGAATCTGGCTAAAGTGATTCATGAGAAATGGAAAGAATCTGTGATGGTTTGTAGGCTTCTTTTTATAAAGAGCTCCTTTTTTGTCCATTTTGTCATCTTTGCTTTTCCATAAAATCTACCATGTTATATGAAAGAGTTCTGTTGAATTTTGACTTTTGAACTTTTACCAGTTACCAGATTACTGATTCCCCCCTCCCCCCTTTCCAGTATTTTAAATATTTCCAGACTGGCCAAATTATATAATTAGTGATGGAGCTCAATGTGATTGTTGATTTTTTTTTTTTTAAAGGAAAAAAATCATAAACAGTGAGTGTTTCACTACCGAAATTGAAGACTGCAATGCTGATTGATTAAAGACGGGCTTTTAAAAATGTAATATAAGAGCTCTATAAGTGGAAAAAATATATAGATATATTCATACCTTATAATTTGATTTATCTAGTTTTATTGTTTTATTTAGATTTAGGAAGAATTATTTATAGTTATGTAAGAAGTGATTTCTAGAGAAAAAAATAACATAACCTTGTAACTTTATTTACTAATGAACCCCTTCTTTGCCAATCCTCTGCCCTGCATTTGTGTTTAGGAGCGACAAAGACAAGAAGAGGTATCTTGTGGCAAGTTTAAGCGAGGTAAAGCACATATTTTTACTTCTAATGTTCTTGTCTTAATGGTGAAACTTGGCATGTATGTTTGAATTTTAACTCATTCTAAATATACTTCCATAAAATGTTACTCACAAATTTTCATTTGCAAATAAAAGTTCTTTAAAAATATTTAACATTTAATGTTGATATAAAATAAAACTGAAAGGAGAAAAGAGCCACTATAATATATATTTAACTTTTATGAGTGCTCTGGAGCACCTAAGATGTACTTTAGTACATATGGTCAAAGTGTTTCCTGTTAAGGTTTTGCTCTGCATGAAAGAAAACTGTTTTGGTTTGCAAGCAATAGATGTTCATGTGGGTGATAGCATTGTTGAAATGATTACTTGGCTATTCAAAATTTTATTGGTGTCAGTGTTATTAGAGCACAAAAGTCAGCCTGCCTTTTTGATGCATTCTGCCAACTTGAAAATATTTAATTACAAATGGCTTTTCTTAGTATTGTCTTCAGTGTTTATTGCAGGTTGGTAGAACTGTTATTAGGGCTCCTCCTTTTGTGCATAAGTTTCTCCAGATGCCTCTTTTGTCCACTTCATACTGGAACCAAGGCAAAGAGCTCCAGGTTGGAGATTCTTAGGATCTGCTTTGGTTCAGACCTGTGCTCATGTTGTACTTTAAGAACTAAAGCTATTTGAGGAATAGAGGTGCCCAAAGGGTATCATGGTATACAAATACCATTGTCAGCTGTTTTTTCCCCTCCCCAGAAAAGCATAGGAATATATCAGAATGTGTTGATATCCATTAGAGATGCTGAAATGTAACACATTAAATTCTGTTATTATGAACTTCTTAAATGTTCAGTTATTTTGAATGCCATTTGCATAGTCTTTATTGTGTACCTCCACTGATTTATATGTTTGTCAAAATATTGATCTTCTCAGTTCTTAGATTGAGTGGGCAGAGCTGACGAGATATATTCTAGTTGCTCACTTCCAGCTGGCTATAACTGCTTCAGTTTACCTGTGTCCAATATACGTGTCACCATTTTTTGTGTTTTGATGCAATAAGAAAGAGTGGGAAGCATTAAGTCAGTTTAAAATTTTAAAATTAAACCCAGATCTTTGCTCATTTGACATGTTTGTATATTAACACATATCAATTCTTTTTTTTTGAGACAGAGTCTCACTTTGTTGCCTGGGTTAGAGTGCCATGGTGTCAGCCTGGCTCACAGCAACCTCAAACTCCTGGGCTCAAGTGATCCTCCTGCCTCAGCCTCCCGAGTAGCTGGGACTATAGCCACCATGCCCGCTAATTTTTTTTCTATGTGTTTTTAGTTGGCCAATTAATTTCTTTCTGTTTTTAGTAGAGACGGGGTCTCCCTTTTGCTCAAGCTGGTTTCAAACTCCTGACCTTGAGTGATCCACCCGCCTTGGCCTCCCAGAGTGCTAGGATTACAGGTGTGAGCCACCGCACCCGGCCCAACCTAATTTCTTAATAGTCTTCAATCGAGTCTTCCACTTCAGTAGTTTTTTTTAGTTTTTTTTTTCTTGCTTGTAACTCTGTGAAGATATATTTTGAAATTTCAGAGTTGTGTTATATTTATAAACTGAAACATAAAAAACCCTGTTTCCTTGGTTTTGGAGGTATCTATGACAGAGTGAATAATGTTTAATTTGTATATTTATTATTGAGAGTATGATACTATTTATTCTGCTCTTGTAGATTCTTCCCTGGTTGGACATATTGGTCTTGATAATCCAGAACAAAAATCATCTCAGAGAACAGGCAAAAAATTACTGAAGACTTTAGCAGCATCTGAAATGCTACCTTTATTGGATCATTGGAATACTCAAACTAAAAAAGTATCACTAAGAGAAATAATGTCAGAAGAAATTGCCTTACAGGAGAAACATGATCTGGTATGAGTTAATATAAATATTAAGCTGTTGTTTCTGACTCTCCTTGGTTTTGTGTGTTTACTTTGTGATTTTCATTTGCTTGTATATTTCCTAGTCTAGAATCCATATTTAACCTGATTGAAGTTAATATTAAAATTGAAGGATGTTTTAAGTATACTTTGAAGCTGAAGGTTTTCACTTTCCGGGAAATTAGTTGATACTCTGTAACAATAAGCAATCTATGTTAAATTTGTGTGCTAGATATAATGTTGCAGGTGATTGAGCTACATCTTAGCATTTATTATTTATCTCTAAATTTTTGTATCTAGAAAATCATGAAAAAATCTTTTATTTAAAGATAATTTCATATATAAATTAGTAATAAGAAATGTCTTGCTATTAAAGATATGTCTATCTTTGAAACAACATTTTTTGGAGAAAAATTTTAGAAATTATGAATTTGAATTTAAAAAATTAAATAACTCTTCCTTTTCAATTAAAGTAGTTCAGACACTTTCCTTTGAACTTGCTTTATTTTTGTTCCTTATTTCAACGTATTTAATTATATATGAAACCATTAAGTGAAATTGTTTTCTTTTGGATTTCTTCTTAATCTTTTTTGGAATTCTGAAAATTAATACTAAAGAATTTCAAAATCTTCTTACTCTGAGCAGGGCAATAAGAAAAAAAAAGGAAATTTCAAAATTAAAAGGGAAAAAACCTTAGAGGTTTAGTCCAATTCTCAAGGGAAAAAAATTCTACGCTCTTTCTTATTCATTTAACTCCTCAAAGCAGCACCTTTATATTTGGCTGTAATACATAGAACTGGGGCATAGGAAGAATGACAGGATTTTTCCATCTTCATATTTATTTATTTTTATCTTGTTCATTAAATTAGAAATATGCTTTCATTTCTATCTTTGCATTCTAACATAATCCAAGGAACAATCTCTTCAGTAGATCTTATAATTTTAGTGTTGCGTCAAATAACCTCTGCAAGTAATATATGTAATAATTTGGAGAAATAGACTTTCTTAAAAAAAAAATAAGGAAAGCCTAACATGCCCTAATGGTGTCATTCTTTTTGTTGAAATGCCATTTTCTAGTACTGAAATTTATCTTTATGGTTCTAACTTGTCTTTAATATCTCAGTATGATCATAAATAAATGAGCATCTTTTGACTTCACAACATAATACATTTTTTTTCTCAGTGATTTTTGCTTGTCTCTCTATGGGTTAATAGAAATTGGATGACTTTGTCCCAGGTATGTGCTTTTTTACATAAAGGTTCAGTAAGAACATTTCTTGATGCTTCTCCTCACTTTGTTCTGAAAGAAGAAATACACTTTGTATATTTTTTTAAAGCAAAGAATATAAAATAAACTGTATATATAATATATGAATAATTAATTGTAAGATGATTATAGTCATTCATTTTTATTAGCTTCATTCATAGTTCATTAGACCTCAGAATTTGGAGTTTAGATACTATGAACTGATAGATAGCTAGAAGATCTGATCAGTGAATTTTATAGTAAGTTTAGATTATAATGCATATTCTTAAGTAAAATGTGAAAAAAAATTAAAATTATTTGTATTAATATATTTACTTATTTGTTTAAATTCATTTTATTTTATTTTATTTTTTTTTGAGATATGGGATCTTGTTCTGTTGCCCAGGCTGGAGTGGAGTGGTGCAGTCATAGCTCACTGCAGCCTCAAACTCCTGGGCTAAAGTGATCCTACTACCTTGGCCTTCTAAGTAGCTGGGGCTACAGGCATGTGCCACTGTTCCCAGCTAATTTATTTTATTTTACTTTTTTAGAGATGGGGTCTCGCTATATTGCCCAGGCTGGTCTCAAACTCCTGGACTCAAGTGATCCTCCTGCCTCCACCTCACAAGTAGCTGGGATTACAGGCATGAGCCACTGTTACTGGCTATGTGTGAAATATTTTTAATTGTTGAGGTGGCTTGTTTCCATCACTACTGTGATATGTTCAGCTTTATCAGTCCTTTTTACTTGTCATATTGTCATTTATTGTGGTTCCTCTTTTATTGCTGTTTGGTGTTACAAATGGCCTAAATATGGTTAGGCTTCAAAACAAATAACTGTTCTGGGATTGCCCTGGATTATTTTAATTTTTAAATTTAGGGATTTTCAGAATCACTTCATTGCCTTTGAAATTGTATATGAAGTAATTTTTCAGATATTAGGATCTTTGTAGGAAACAAAAATTATTTAGTTACATTGTAATGTTGACTAATTGTCACTTTGAGAATATTTACCATAATCCTAAAATAGCATATTTTAGGGAAGTTCTTTTGGTCTGGCAATTTAAATAGACAAATCCAAATATGTTTTGCAAAAAATAACATAATTCTTATACATTTATTTTGGAGTAAATGTGTTTGTGAAAATTTAAAAATAATTGTGAATTTTAAGATTTTCTGTCAATCTGAATTTGCAACTTATTTGTACATTATAGTTTCTGCCCATTGAGGAGAATTTGTTTTTGAGGACATTGTTCACAGCATCACACAGTGTCCCTTTTATGAGGACCCATGGGAGAAATTTCTCTCAGGTGTCAGTATCAGAAAAAGCTGTACATCTCCTGAGCAACTGGTTTGTTTTTATTTTATGGACACTGAGAATCTTTGTTTCCCCCTTTGCTTTGGCCACTAAGAGACTTAGAACTAAATTTGTGGCCCACCTTTAGCAATTGTACAGGATTTTGTGGCATGAATTTATATACTAATTTTACTTGCTAGCTTTATTCTGTATTCTTACCTTTATTTTCACTACTTTCTGGCTTCTTGATTTATTTATATCCTGTTTATTTATATGTGTATATAAAATATATATGTTCATCCTTTTTATGATTATGTTATGTGCATAGGTAAGAGTATGTATATATATTTACATACACAGTGTACACATATGTATATGTGATTGTGTGTGTGTATATATATTTATGGGCAACTTCAAATACTTTGCAAAAATGGGATATAACTAAATAATGCAAGAACACTTAACTTACTAATTTTAGCCTTTAAATGGTGAAGAAAGTCTGTGATTGCTTTTGAACTGTTAGTCTTTTTGCAACAACATAACCATGCTTTTTTGGTCAACATTGCTAGTATTATAAATTCCATCTTAGGGGTTGATTTTTGTGTTTTTGTTTTAGAAAAGGGAGACACTTATGTTTGAAAAAGATTGTGCCACTAAACTAAAGGAGAAGCAGCTCTTTAAGATATTTCCAGCCATTAACCAAAATTTCCTGGTGGACATTTTCAAGGACCACAAGTGAGTGCTAGAAGGATTGTCTATAGTTTCTATGCTAATGTCACTGAAAGCATATGCCATATGTTTTAATCTTTCATGTTTATTTTTCCAATAACAAAAATAATATATGTACATAGTAATCCCCCCTTATCTGTGGGGGATATGTTCCAAGACTCCCTGTGGATGCCTGAAATTGTGAATAGTACCGAGCACTGTATATACTTTGTGTTTTCCTATACATATATATGTATGATAAAGTTTAATTTATAAATTAGGCACAGTAAAAGATTAACAATAATAACTAATAATGAAAATAGAGCAATTATAACATTATACTGTAATAAAAGTTAAGTGAATGTGGTCTCTCTCTCTGTCTCAAAATACATTTGTCCCCCAGTATCCATAGGGGATTTGTTCCATGGCACCTCTCTCACCGCACGGACACCAAAATCCATGGGTGTTCAAGTTCCTTATATAAAATGGCATAGTATTTGCATATAACCTATGCACATCCTCATATATACTTTAAATGTATATATGTAAATGTTATGTAAATAGTTGTTATACTATGTTCAGAGAGTAATGACAAGAAAAAAAAGTCTGTATGTGATCAGTATAGATGCAACCATCGTTTTTTTCCCCTAATACTTTTGATCTGAAGTGGGTAGAATCTATAGAGGGCCCACATGTTGTAATATTTTTGAGCCTTCATTGACCTTGGGTAACTGAAACCTGGGAACGTGAACCTAAGATAATGTACGTGATGTAGAAATGAGCAGTATATAATAAGTTTCTAGCAGTTCATACTCCTTGTTAATTTTTTTCCTATGTATGCTAATGTGTATGTGCGTAGGTGTGTGCCTGTATGCTTTTGTGTGTATATATACATTTGTATTCCACCAGAAACGAGGTGGTATTTTATGTACTACTTTGTAGTTTTGCTGGTGTTTATTTTTTCTCTCCATACATAATGATCTGCTCTTTTCTTTTTTAAGTCTACATAATATTCTCTATTAGGGAAGTACCATAATTTATTTAAGCATGTTTGCATTTGCGGGCTTTTTGGCCGTAAGAAAAATTGGAGATCATGTTCCAATGAGCATCCTTGAACATACATCTTTGAGTACCTGGATGAATGCTGTTATTCCTAAAAGTAAATTGCTGGTTCAGAGTGTATATGTTTAAAATTTTAATAGCTAATGGCAAATTCCCTTTAATAAAGGCTGTCTGTATTAGTTATACATACTGACAATGTAACCTCTCTGGATATTAGGTATTTAAACACATTTTGTCAATCTGATGGGGAAAATGATATTTTATTATTTAAAGTTTTACTTTCCTTTTACTAGTATGGGTAAGCTTTTATTTATTTATTTATTTATTATTAATTGCTTGCTTTTTGCCTGTTTTTATTTCTATTTCTTTCTAGACTTCTAAAAGCTCTTTATATATTATGTATAGTAATCTTTGTAAAAATAGATTACAATCATTTTTCTTGCTATGACACTTACCTCTTAACCTAGTGTGGTCCCTTTGGTCATATACACATTTTAATTCCTTTGTTTTATCAGAAAACCTTTTCCTTTATTGTTTTTCAGTTTTATATCTTATTTAGGCAGTCTGCTTCAACTTGACATTATAAAAATATTGTCCTTATTATTTTTAATACCTGTCTAGCTTTTTTAATGTGTATCGTATGAAGTAGAGATTTATAAATGAGGAGATTAACTTGTTTTTCCAAATAATTAACTGGATGAATGGATCATCTTTATCCACTGGTACAAAGTATAATCATTAATACTCATTATATTCCCAAATATACAGTTTCTTTTGAAGACTTCAGTTCCATTGAACCATTTGTTAGGTCCTGAGTTGCCACCATATTTCTTTAATTATTGTAGTAGTATAGTATGTTTTGATGTTTGGTATATTAGAAATGCTTTGGTTTGAATAATATGCTTTTGGTCATATATTTTTCTTAAATTCCTATTTTAGCAAGAGTTTGCTTTAAATAGAAACTTTTTTAGGATCCTTTGAGAATCTAGTGTAGGTTTTGATAATCTGTTTATTAATATATTTTGTTTCAATCACGATAATGGATTTCTGGACTAAGGTCTACTTTACCTTCAGGTTTTTCTTTTCTTTTTTTTCCTGTAATGCAAAGAACTTAATAACCTTGAAGGTTCTGTCTTTAGTAACCTTTCAATATCTTTTTAAGGTTATTACTTTATTCAGATGTTTGCTTTTTTTTTTTTTTTTTTTTTTGGCATGTTATGGGGGTACAGATTTTAAGGTTTCAAAAAATGCCCATTCCCCCCTCCCCCCACAAGTCTGAGATTCCAGCATGACCATCCCCCAGATGGTGCACATCTCACTCATTATATATGTATATACCCGCCCCCCTCCCCCCAGATGTTTGCTTTTTTTCATGAGTCATTTTGGTAATTTGTCTTTGAGAAAATCACCAGTTTTACCTTGGCTTTCAAGTTCATTATTGTCAAGCTATATATAATATTTTATCATTAAAAACTATATTGTATTTGATCATATCCCTTTCTCCTTTCCTAATGTCGCATATTTCATGTTTTTCTGTTTTGTTCTTTATCAGATTGGTCCTTTTAAAGAACAAACTCTTGGCTTATTGGTCATAGTCTATTGTTTTATGTTCTCTATTTATTTTTACAGATTCCTGTCTATTAAAATCTATTTATTTTCAACTCTTTGATTAGTTTGTTTTAGTTTTTAATAACAAATATTATATTTAAGGTATTCATTTTTCTCTGCATATGGTTTTGATTTTGATACAGTGTTTTTATTTTCACTATTTTCTAAATGATCTCTAATTTCAGTTTGATTTTCTATTTACCCAAAGTTTCTAATTTTCTAAATGGCATGATGGCTTTGGTGGTAATGGTAGGGGAAACTTATTATTTATTTTATTTTGTTGTATTTGGGTGCAAGAATGTGGCCTGGAAGAGTTCTGTTTTTTGGAATTTGATGCTTGCTTTGTGCTTTAATACATGGCTAATTTTTACAAATATTATATGAAAGTACAAGTTAAGATTCCAAATCTAAAAATCTGAAATGTGAAATGCTCTAAAACCTGAAACTTTTTGTGCATTGACATAATACTACAAGTAGAAAATTCTACACCTGACTCCTTTGCTTTCTGATGGTTCATGTGAAACATAAATGAATTTTTTATTTAGACTTGGGTCCCATCCCCAAGATAACTGATTATGTATATATAAATACTCCAAAATTCAAAAACATCCAAAATCTGAAACACTTCTGGTCCTAAGTATTTTGGATAAGGGATATTCAACTTGTACTTTTGAAAAGAATATTTATTCTCTCCTGAGTATGCAGAGTTCTAAATGTGTCACTTAAATCAAGGTTTTAATGGTATTATTCCAAACCATAATTTCCTTATTAATTTTTGCCACCTAACTTGCAGTCTTCACAGAATTATGTGTTAAAATCTCCTAAAAGCTGGAGGTTAAGGGGATGGTGCTGGCATATGGTACTCTGTCCTATGGGGGCCTAGGGCAAGAGGGCCTGAGGTGAAACTGCACAGAACTGTGGGTCCCCAAGCAAGGTGAGGCGGCTGGGTGCATCCTTTCTGCAGATGGCCGAGTGATTGGCCAGTCAGGTGCCTTAGGTTAGGTGGTTGGTTGCACCATTTGTCTGCCAGCAGCAGGCCAATTCTCCTCAGATAATAGTAGTTTCAACTGCCTCCTGGTAAGAAGGGTAGGTGGGCTCCGTTACTACTGTATGTGCTTGAGGTGTAATCTTCTAGGGCTGTAACCCTCAAACAACACAAATGGTGGATAGAGACTGACTTCCAGCCCCACACATAGGTAGGTGATTTTAAGGGCTAGAAAGGATGTGGATAGTTGTTAGTAGCATCCACCTTTTAGCATGCTCTCTGTGTTGAGCGTATCTGAGGCAGCAAGATGGGAGGGCTAAAGTGAACTGGTGATCCCAAACAGCTTCCTTTCAAGGACTGTCTTTAATAAATTGAAGAATAGCAAAATACCCTGCTGTATTTTAGATAACTAGTTATTATATTTCAGAAAATATTCCTATGTGGTCAAGCTCTTCAGTATCTGGCCAGTCAATGGGAGAGATGAGAGGCATAAGTGGTATGAAATAATGAGCAATATAAAGTCATTTATAATTTTATTTGGGATGATTTTCTTTAAATATTGGAACATGAGTATATCAGACATTTGTCAATATTGTAGAATTTCATACAATATAGTATCACCTTGAAAACATGTCTGAATAATGTAGGAATGAGAGAGGTAGGATGGTGTTTTACTTTTTCTTTTCTGTATCCCACTTAGACTTTCTTTGACTAGAATCCCACTTTTATAAGTAAAAGTGGAATTTGATACGATAAAAATGTCAGCTTAGAGATCTGTTGTCTGTGTTTTTTTTTTTTGAGACAGTCTCTCACTTTGTTGCCCAGGCTAGAGTGAGTGCCGTGGCATCAGCCTGGCTCACAGCAACCTCAATCTCTGGGGGCTCAGCGATCCTACTGCCTCAGCCTCCCGAGTAGCTGGGACTACAGGCATGTGCCACCATGCCCGGCTAATTTTTTGTATATATATTTTTAGTTGGCCAATTAATTTATTTCTATTTTTGGTAGAGACAGGGTCTCGCTCAGGCTGGTTTCAAATTCCTGACCTTGAGCAATCCGCCCGCCTCGGCCTCCCAAAGTGCTAGGATTACAAGCGTGAGCCACCACGCCTGGCCTGTTGTCTGTGTTTGATGTTTGAAGAACACTATAATAAAAGCATGTGTGAATTCAACAAAGGATTTAAGGAGAATAGATGATAAAATGAAAGAAAGATTTGTTGTGGATAATCTGCCTAGAATAAAAGATCAGAAATTGAATTATCAATATGTTATCTTTTGGTGTTAATTTTTTGAAAATTAATTTTTGAGAGCCTATTACTTGATAGTTTTCCCTCTAATCATTTTTGACTTTTTGATATACAATGAACACTTAATTTCAATGTTGAAAACTTAAAAGTAAGCCAGTTTTTTATATTCTTATAAAATGTTCGAAAATATGTTAATGTCTCTGCATAACTTTTATTGTCATTTATTGATATAGTATGTTTGTACTTAAACTTTCTACAGCTATTCATTAGAACACACAGTACAATTTCTAAACTGTGTTCTTGAAGGGGACCCTGTAAAAACAGTTGTAGCACAAGAGTTTGTTCACCAAAATGAGAATGTCACTTCTCATACTACCCAGAAGTCTAAAGAGAAAAAGGTATGAAGTTACTTAATTTTTTCTATAGTAGTAGATAATTGTCTATAACAGTATAATTGGTTTGTTGAATATAGTAATGTAATGATTGTTTCTCATCATTTTGACTGGATTAAAATTTTAACTACCAATTGCCAATTTGTTTAGAATATCTGTATACTCAAAAGAATGAATTTATAAGTGATTTTTTTCCTTCAATGTGAATGATAAATAGGCACTTGAATTTCTGCAATGCCTGTGTACTCTAGTGTATGAACACAGTAGAATATGAGGCTTAATTGAATAGCAGTGGGTTTGTAATATGATGGGTCTTAGAGTGTAAATATGTGGGCAGAAATGTTTAACCTTTTGAGAAAGTGTCAAACTTTATTCCAAAGTTGGCTGTACCATTTTACGTTTCCACCAGAAATATATGAGGATTACAGTTTCTCCAAATCTTCGCCGACAATTGCCTTTTCTTTTCTTTTTTTTTTTTTTTTTTGAGACAGAGTCTCACTTTGTTGCCCGGGCTAGGACTAGAGTGTCGTGGTGTCAGCCTAGCTCACAGCAACCTCAAACTCCTGGGCTCAAGCAATCCTTCTGCCTCAGTCTCCTGAGTAGCTGGGACTACAGGCATGCACTACCATGCCCAGCTAATTTTTTCTATATATTTTTAGTTGGCCAATTAATTTTCTTTCTTTTTTAGTACAGACGGGTCTCGCTCTTGCTCAGTCTGGTTTCGAACTCCTGACCTTGAGCGATCCACCCGCCTGGGCCTCCCAGAGTGCTAGGATTACAGGCGTGAGCCACTGCACCTGGCCAATCTGTTTTTGATTGTATCTATCCTAGTGGATGTGAAGTTTTAAGGGTACCCAAGATTTATTTTAATCAGGTATAGTAAGATATGCAGACATGGAAATGTCATGAAGGAAGAAGTTTATTATACTTACAGATTCCCTAGAAACAGGAGGTGTGGCTTGCTATAAAGACCACATGTGGAGCCAGCAGGGTAGGTCAGGAGACAGAGGGAGTTGGGGAGGAAATGTGGACAAAAGTCTTTATTGTGGTCTCTGTGGGAAGGAGTGGGCAAGGCAGTGTAAGCAGGTTTAGGATTGGCTAGTTTACATAATTTTAGCAGGCTCTGGAGCTTAGAGGATGCCCCAAGTTGTCTAATACTTGGCCCCAGGGTGATTAGGGCAGCTGGGTGGTGGCCTGCAGTGTGAGAGCCACATAAAGGAGGTGCTCTGGGATTGGTTGGTTTGCAAATGAAAGGTGTGTTTGCAGGCAGGTGTTTGCTATCTCAGGGAATTAGTTAAACCTGGAGGGGTAGCAGGGGTGGAGAGAAGTGAGGAAGCAGTCTCTCCAGGGACAAGCAAGGCTGCAAGTGTCAACTTCAGAATACAGAAAATAAAAGACCATGGTTAAAGGCCGGGCATGGTGGCATGCACCTGTAGTCAGTCCTAGTTACTTGGGAGGCTGAGGCAGGAAGATGGCTTGAGCCCAGGAGTTTGAGGTTGCTGTGAGCTGGGCTAACGCCAGGGTACTCTAGCTGGGGCAACAGAGTGAGAAATAAAAAAGGGAAAAAGACCTGGTTAATACAGAAATGGCATCTTATTGTGGCTTTGATTTGCATTTCCTTGATGGCTACTGATGTTGAGCATCTTTTTATTGCCATTGGCCATTCGTACCTCTTCTTTGGAGAAATGTCTATTTATATTCTTTTTTTTTTTTCCCCAGGCAAAGTTTCACTCTATTGCCCCGGCTAGAGTGCTGAGGCATCAGCCTAGCTCACAGCAACCTCAGACTCCTGGGTTCAGACGATCCTTCTGCCTCAGCCTCTCTAGTAGCTGGGACTACAGGCATTCGCTACCATGCCTGGCTAATTTTTCTATTTATTTTTAGTTGGCCAATTAATTTCTTTCTATTTTTAGTAGAGACGGGGTCTCGCTCTTGCTCAGGCTGGCGGCCTCCCAGAGTGCTAGGATTATAGGTGTGAGCCACTGTGCCCGGCCCTATTTATATTCTTTATGTATTTTTAAATTGGGTTATTTCTTTTTATTGTAGAGTTATAGGTGTTCTTTGTATTAATATATTCTAGATAAAAGTTCTTGTCAGATACGAGATTCACAAACATTTTCTCCGTTTCTTTCCATAGGTTTCCTTTCTACTCTGTTGATTGTTTCCTTTGTGGTACTGAAGTCTTTGGGTTAGATGTGGTTCAGCTTGTCTAGTTTTGCTTTTGTTGCCTGTGCTTTTGGTATTGTATTCAGGAAATTGCCAAATCCAACTTCATGAAGCTTTCCCTTATGTTTTCTTCTAGGAGTTTTATAGTTTTGGGTCTTATGTTTCAGGTCTTTAACCCATTTTGAGTTCATCTTTGTATATGTTGTGAGAATGGCATCCAAGTTTATTTTTTTGTGTGTGCTTTTCCACTTGTCTTGGTACCATTTGTTGCAGAGACTCTCCTTTCCTCATTGAATTTTCTTGGCACTCCTGTTGAAAATAAATTGACCGTAATTGTACAGGTTTATTGTTCGACTCTCAATTCTGTTCCATTGATCTGTATATCTATCCTTATGTTTGTACCACATTGTCTTCATTACTGTAGCTTTGTAGTAAGTTTTGAAATTGAGAAGTGTGAGTCTTGCCAACTGTGTTCTTCTTTTTTCAACATTTTGGCTATTCTGGGCCCCTTGCATTTCCATGTGAATTTTAGGATCAGCTTGTCAATTTCTGCAAAGAAGCCGCTTGGAGTTTTGATGGGGCTTGTGTTGAATCTGTAGCTCAATGTGAGGAGTATTGCCATCTTACCAATCTTAAGTCTTCCAATCCATGAACATGGAGTATTTTCAATTTATTTACATCTTCTTTAATTTCTTTCAACAGTGTGCTGTAGTTTTCACAGTATAAATTTTGCACATCTTTTGTTAAATTTTTTCTGTATACGGTATTTCATTCTTTTTTGATGTTATATATATATATTTTTTTATTTCAGCATATTATGGGGGTACAGATTTTAAGGTTTCAATAAATGCCCATTTCCCTCCCTCCCCCCACAAGTCTGAGTCTCCAGCATGACCATCCCCATGGTGCACATCTCACTCATTTAATATGTATATACCCGCCCCCTCCCCTGCCCAATACCCTATTACTGCAGTACCTATGTGACCACTTAGGTGCTGTTCAGTTAATACCAATTTTGCTGGTGAGTATATGTGGTGCTTGTTTTCCATTCTTGGAAACTTCACTTAATAGTATGGTTCCAGCTCTAACCAGGAAAATATAAGATGTGCTATATCACCATTGTTCTTAGAGCTGAATAGTACTCCATGTATACATATACTACATTTGATAATCCACACCGTTGGCGT